ATATATATATATATATATATATATACAATATATATATATATGTATCGCTTCTTCGCAGTATCTTCCCATATTATTTCCGCTTCACTTCCGCTGCGAGGCACATATCATAATATCATGCACACGCTCAGATAGCGAGAATATTTGATATTTTGTTTAATATACGCAAGTGCGTCATACATCGAAAAACATTACATATAGTTCCACTCATGTTCTTTTCTTTTTTTTTTTTGTTCGATCCGTCTTCGCACCTTTATGATAATGTCTAGCAATGGCGCGCGCATTTCACAGCAAATTATATATTCGGGTTACATTCGTGACGATAACGATGCAAAACTCTGCACTAACAGTACTGAGTTAAACTAACGCGTTAAACTAAGAACGAACGCAGATTGACCGAAAAATATAGAAGCGTGTGAGCCGAATGTTGCGTTATTGATCCGAATGCGAAGGAGGAATCATTGAGTTTTCGACGGTGGTCGAGTAGTGCGGCTCCGCCGTCGGAGGCGTATCGTCACGCGAAGAACTTGTCACATGAGACGTGGCAGGTGTCGCCGGCTGAGATTGAGTCGTGGGCGGCGTATATATCAGCCGATAGCCAGCTGGCAAAAAGAAACCGCCGTGAGGTGTGCAGCTGAAAGTCTGAAAATTCGGTAGCGGCTGGCCCTCGTGATACTGTATGTAGGCGCTTGTCGCGCCGGGTATCGATAAGGGCGCGGGCGCGGATAACGGTCCAGTTGTCGACGGGATATTCGTTCCTTCTGATAATATAGGAGCGAATTGGTACTGCGTCGGATTTCCAACCGCCGTGCTGTGCGTCGTATCAATACTCTCGGATATATCATTCGAGCAGTTATTACTTTGCTGAGAAACTACACTTTGCATATTTTCAGAAGGCACTACTGGAATTGGAATAACATAAGCATGCGGTATTCCAGCCGATGCCTGCTGCGGTTGAAGCTGCAGTGGAGTCTGCTTCAATTTCTGCATGGCCAGCCGTAAAGTCTCATCCGTGTCAGGATAGTTGTTCGGCCCTTTCTGCAGGGGAGTCTGCGGCGCTGTACCAAACATCAGATAGTCCTCCATTCCTGGAATTCTAGGTCCTGTCAAATAACAAAATGACACATCAATTACAATATGCATTGTACAAATAAGAATACGTGTATACATAATAAATGATTTTAACGAAATTAATTGCTGACCGGAAATATTTGTTGCAACCGTATGGTAAAGCAACGGATGATGCTGATGATGAAGCGCGCTTGCTTGTTGCTGTATAAGCAATTGTAGTTGTTGTTGTTGGAAACGTTCCAACTCTTCCCTGTGTCTTCTTTGCAATGTTTCTAGTTCCGAAGTTTGTCTGTATATAATAAAAATTGTTCTATATTTTTTAAAAAGTAAGCAAATCGTGAATTAATATCTATAATTTATTTTTATCTTCCTAGCTTTTGATATTTTAGATGTATCTTTGCATACGTTCTGTTAAATAAAAGAATAAATTTAAATGTCACGATATAAATATTTTTACCTTTTTATAAGTAATTGGTATTCTTCACTCGGTGTAAGAGCTACAAATCTCTCTTCTTTTTCAGGCTGTAATATCAGATAATAAATTATTACCATCTGATTGCGTTATTTTTATTATAATTAATTAATTTCATAATTCTTATATTTTTATTTGACAATAATAATAAAGCTATAAAACTTACTTCAATATTTGAAATATTAGTACCATGAATTGCCTGTACAGTTGGCGGAACAGAATTCTCTCGACTATGAAGTATTTGTGCAGATACACCTATAATTAGTAAATATGTGTCACATATCTCTATACACAAAGAGGTTCATATATATTTATTATTATATTTATTTAGCTTTTGCTAAATATTTAGTTTTTGCTAAATTTTCGTCGTTTAAATAAAATCTCTTACCATGTAGATCATCTGTATGATGAGAAAGAATATTTTGCCGTTCTAAAATTTTTAATTCTTCCGTTTGTTGTAATTGAGATCTTGCAGCATCAACAACCTGTTGTTGATTAATAGCAACATTGCCATGAGTAGGCGGACCCGCAACTTTAGAAACCACAAATCTTGATATTTTTCTAATAGGCTGAGTAGGATTCGCCTTCTGTAAAATTAATGTTCCAACATTATTTAAAAAAGCAGACGTATTATAAAATAATTTCTGTCATAACTTTGCTATATTTTAGAAAGCTAAAAGTGTGACACCAAACGCAAAACATTGCAGAAAATAGACATTACCTCATTAGTAGCGTCTTGGAGTTCTGCCTGAATTGGAGTATTGGTACCAGACCGTGGTGTCACGATATTAGGAGTGACAGTAGCCACAGGTACCACTGACACTGGCTGGGCAGTCGTCAACAAATTTTGCACAGATTGTTGCGTTTGTACGGATGTAGGCGGTGTTAATGGCTGATTCGGAGCTGCTGAGAAAACCGATCCTCTGTGATGAATCTTAGCCAATTCCTGCTCCAATTCTTGTAAACGGGATCCCGGTCTTTGAGCTCGCATCTTTACATTTTCTTTGCTTGGGCTCATATTTTCGGACCCTGTAGGAGCTCCTGGTGTTGGACTGTCAAGGGAACATTCCACATTCTGAAAAGAAATTTTATACGGATACTTTTGGGACAACGAGAATCACCATTTGCGTATATCAAGTATAATACAACATAAAAAGACTTACAGTTTGTGAAAGTGCACCAGAACTGTCTTGCGTTATAGTGGAACCCTCGATAGTCGTGTCGGCTTGCGTATCGGTGAGAATAGTGGAGGAATGTATTGTTGTTTGAGGAGATAACGGACATGCGGCATTCGCAGACGAAACTGGCACGCCAATATTATATAGTTTCTGTTGCAAAGAATGCATATACGCGTCGTACCCTCCAACCACTTGATTATTATGAGGTGTGGCAGGATAGCTTATAGGTGGTGTACCAACGTTCAGCGATTCCGACGGCTGACTTGTCAATTGTACAAGTTTCTGATGTAAGTCAGCTATAGTTTGCGGTCCTGCACCACCTCCAACAGTCCCGACGCAGTTTATATCCGACATTTTGTCCAACGAATTCTGTTGACTGAGTTTGCGGTGTTGCTGTTGCTGCTGCTGTGATTGCGACAACTGTTGTTGCAGAATCGATGTAGAATCGATGGATTCAACAAGAGTGTGCTCAGGCGTCACATCGTGACTGGAATTCTCATTTTCGGATGTAAGTAACTGGCAATCGGAACTAGCACGGCGTATACTGAAATGATAAAGTAAACTTTAAAAAGACAAGTTATAAAGCGTTTCATATTTCGTGTCGTTTTTCTTCTGTATTGTTGCTATCGAATTGAATCGATAAATGTACATACCAATTTGAACTCGAAGATTCCAGATTCTCAATTTCCGAAGATTTGGCCAAATGTTGTTCCGGAAGCTTTAAATGTAAGTGTGATTGATCTAATATGGCGGGAGATTCGCTGTGTTGTTGGTCTTGCATGATCTGCTGATGCATTTGCGGCTGCAAAGGAATTTGTTGTAACTGCAATTGATTTGGCAGCGGCTGCAGCTGATTTGGTTGTACATGTCGTATCGGCTGCTGTAAAGGAGTTTGATTAGTCACGATCCAATTTCCTTGAGCGGTCGATTGAGTCGATACACTCTGAAGAATGGACTGCACCATCTGTGACTGCGCGTCAATCTGTTGAGGGATTGTTAACGGAACCGACTGTGGTATCGGCTGCACTTGATTCTGGTGAAGCACCTGCTGATTTTGAAACGCTTGCTGAAAGTTCTGCTGTCCCTGATATCCCTGATGCACAATCTGCCCTTGATAATTGTGTTGAATAGGCGGTTGAATTTGCAGTTGACTCGCCTCCGGTTGTATAGGCTGAAAATACTGCTCGGATTGCACAGGTTTGTAGTCAACTGATGCGGAAGCGGCAACGTTAGGAACAGCAGCTGGTTCGTGGTTGGTCAAAGGATGAGGCGTGGCAGATTTTGATTTCGGATTGGAAAGTATATTTGCTAAATTTTGCGCAAGATCTGGAAGCGTCGAGGACATCTCTTTCGTTTTAACGGGGACTTTAGGTGTGGAAATGTCTGCGGCAGCAACCGGATGTGCAGAAGCAGGTACCGGCATGGATGGAGGGATGGTTCCCGGAACATGTTGCACGTTTTGATGAGATTGAGTGGTTTCTATAGCGCTTTGCGGCAACGGCATTGTACCGGGGATGTCTTGCGAAACAACTTGTATGTGTTGCATATGTGTTACAGGTATATTAGTTGTGTTCACGCCTTGCCTCTTTTCCTCGGCTATGCCGGACGATTCCAAAATTTGAGAGTCTGTGGATACATTGGATGCTGTGGACAAACTCGACACTCTACGATTTCGATCGTCCATAAGCGTTGATTGCACCGGTTGCATATGGCCCGATAGCATCACATACTGCTGCGTCGGAGGCTGCATCTGTTGCGGAATGAATTGCTGCTGAACCACCGGACGCTGGACCTGCATCTGTTCCGCTTGTACGTGCATCTGCATTATGCCTTGCTGTATAGGAATTTGCTGCTGTGGTGGTTGCATTACAACATTGGGTTGTATCATCGGTTGATTTGGATACTGCGCCTGTGTTTGGACTATTCCATTCGAATGGAGCGGTTGAGGCTGCAACTCCTGCGATTTAACCGGCACAAAATGCTGCATACTAGCTGGAGGTATTTGTTGCGACGTTATCGTAGAACCCTGGACGATTATGGTATGCTGGTTCGACTGTCCGATAGTCGTGGTTTGTTGCACGTGTCCCGTTACTTGTTGCAGAGTTTGCATTTGAATAATGCTCTGCTGCAGTCCGATCGACTGTTGTCCCGGCTGTAAGATTTGTTGCGCGCTGTCTGTCTGTTCTATGGCATACGGAATATTCTGAACTATTGTTTCGTTATTGTTAGTTTGTTCGTGCGTCGTTGCACTCTGAATTTCTAAAACATTTGCCTCCGTGTGATTTATTTGTTCCTCATTTTTCAATATAAGCTCCGCGTTCGTAACAGGTGCAACAGATTGCGATGCTGACTGCGACATTGCGATATTTGTACGATCTATGCTTTCACCGGCAGAAGATTCCCCTTCAGGTGCGATATTTTTTTGTTCGGTCACAGGACTAACTAAGAAGCGAGAAACTTTGCGCATTGGCGTCGGTACCGTTAAAGTCGATATCTCTGCAGCAACGTCGGCCGCATTTATTTCTTTAATTATTCCAGATTCCTTTACATCTACTCCATCTTGCTGTTCTTGAGATTCTTTCGATGCTTCACTTGCATTACTTGCGCTCACTATTGTATCCTGTATTTGAGTCTGAGCATGCGTTGTAGTTGTTTGATAAGATTTAAAGGCCGAATTACTAGCATCATCCTGAATATTATGCTGTGCTTCCACAACTGTTTCCGCGGACGTTGCAGAAACGATAGTTTCTTGATTATCCGTCGGGTCACTCGGTATATTTGTAGGTGTTAAAGTGTCGGTATTTTGTGTAGATGTAGATGACCTCCTGGAAGCTTCGGCTGATGTATTTTCGGCACCGGCTTGACTATCAGGAGTCTGAGCGACTTGCTGCTTCTCCAAACTGGTATTGGCAATATGAGAAATAATCTGATCGATCGGCAACAATTTCGTTGGAGTAGAAGTATTTGAAGTTTCGTCTCTCTGAAATGAATAAAATATTCATTATTATTTCAAATACTTGGTAGTAAATAAATATATAATATAAACAATGACCCGTGTGTATATATCCAATATATTTAACAAACATATTAAAAATTCTGCATCATAAACTTCAAGATATATCTTATCAAATTTTCTTATTTAAAAAACGTATTTTAAAAACATTCATGAAGAAATAATTTTATAAAAATATCCATTGTAAGAACATCTCTTTGCTCTTTTATTTACACAATAGAAATAACAGTTTACCAAATTTTATTATAGTGCAATATTTAAAATATGATGCAAAATATGTTCTTATATGTACGAGAACATAACGATTATTGCAATATTTATAAAATGTTTCTAATCAAGACTGTCGTAAAATAATAGATTTTCATAAAATAAAAATACGTAGAATTATTTTTCAATATATAAATCAATACGTTCGATGAATACAGCACACAAAATAATATTATAATATGCATATACGTGATTGCTTTGTACATATACGTTTTACATATACTGTAATGATGTAAGATAATCTGCGAAAAAAAGTGTAAAAAATATGATGTAAATCAATCCCAAGAAAGTTCTGACATTTTCAAAAAATTTCCAAACACCCAAATCAATTTCCCGGTCATAGTTTCATCGAAATCACACGTCTAGTACTCGTTTCTTTCTGTGTTATGAAAGAAATCGGTGTGTTACCGTAAAAAACAAAAACTTTTTTAAATCTCGGAACTTTCTTAGATTTCTGCATACATAATGTGAACCTATAACAAGACAAAATTATAAATGGCCTAACAAGTGTCCGAGTCTGGGCATAATTGGTTGCAAGTGTAACAAAAATGAAATGCATAAGCGTCCACGAATATAACTCTGAAATGTGTAGGAGAAACAGGAGAAGGGACGGTGGGATCGATGAACTCACCGAACGGTGTCTACGGTGGACTTTGTACGACGATCGGTGGCTGCTTTGACGTGTTAGCGAGCCATGTCTCACCTGCTGCGTCCAAAACCATACACACCAATTATATGCATACCCTTGATTCTATATTGAAAATATATGTTCCACACAAAGTCCCCTATGCTATTTTAATATTACTGCCCTGGATTATAGTTCGATTTTAAATGGAAATGCAAATTGGTCCATTTGAGAAGAAAATGACCACATTACTTATGCGAATCATTGTCTTGGACGCATCTGTATGTTTAAAGAGCACATAAAATTTTCACGCGATGATAAAGAAAGTAATCGCGAAAATTTTACAAAATATGATGTAAATATCATTTACATCACACACACTGCATCTTTGGCGATGACATTAATGCCTAGCTTATTCTTTAATAGCTACAAAAGTTATACCTTAGCTGTATCGAGACTGTGGTCGCGATCCCTAGGACGTCGACTTGTAACCGGGCTTCCACCGGCAGATTGATCAGGTGGACCATGTGCTACCAAAGGTAGGGCTCGCGTAGGATCCAACCGCAATTGTTTGACAATGTCTTCAATTAATTCTACGAACGTCTCGCATTGAGATTGCGGCAATAGATTTTCAGCAACCTGGATACATTGAGAGAGAAGAAAAAGAAAAAATAATGTGAGACAAAAGGTAATATATAATTAAGTAAATGTCAAAATATAGATGTCAGATGTCAAAATATATCCTTACCAAATTATTGGCAATGTCTGTAGGTACCATATCGTCTCGATCAAATTTAAAGGTAACAGTCTTTTGTTTACTCGTATCTAACTGGCACTCGACAGTCATTGATTGTCCTTCGCCACTACTGACAGACAAGACTGTTAATTTAATGCCCGGCTTCTTACGTTTAGTTCCTGTACGTTTTATCCGGCTTCTCTCGGAAGCGGGAACGCTTTCGGAATTTTCTGGCGTGACTCTAAAAGATAAAATATTTAATTAAGTTTACAATTATTTTTACTCGTCTTTATTCCATCTTGTCTTACCCATCGTTTGACGCTACACTCTGCTGTGAAACGCCCGTTGTGACTGGAGCAGGTGTAGCAATTTGATCTTGCTGTAAATTAATTGGTAGATCTGGTGGCAGAGACAGCACTGAATCCATTGTATCTTGTTTTATCAGGGAAGACCTGTCAGTCGTGGGACATTGATCCGTATTCGAAAGAAAATGTTGATGTTGCTGCTGCAGATTAGTGGATGATTGCGCTGAGACGTTCGCTATATTGGGCGTTATCGAAATAGAATTGGGCATGACATTCGCGTTTTGCGAATACTGCATTTGCACGAGAATATTTTGTTGAGACTGAGGCTGTGGGCCGGTATTGCCGAGCAAAGCGGGCGCGCTTTGTATATTGGGGATCGTCGAGGTCGGGACATTTTGCATATGAGTCACAGCCGACGTATTATTGACACTTATGCCCGATGGTATAGATGTTTGAACTTGACCTGTCGATGGGATGTATTGCGACTGTGAGGATGCGGGCATCGCGCCCGCGGGTAAACTCGTGTGAGAGTAAATCTGCGTCGCAGTTTGAGTGGACGATAAAATTTCTACGTGACCAGAGGGATTAGTAGACGTGGTATATGTGTGAAATATTTGTTGCGGCATGGTTTGTTGATACAAAGAACCCGCTGATACGTATCCCGAGGAACCAGCGTTCTGCTGATAGTATTGCTGATTCTGAACAGACGGCGAACCAACGGTATGTTGTTGATGTAACTGCTGAACATGCTGAAGTTGCGATTGCGTCGCGTATTGCTGTTGCTGCGCGTGTTGTTGAAGCTGTTGATGCATTTGCTGCTGTTGCTGTTGGGACAACATCTGCATTTGAGGCTGCATTTGTTGCTGTATCTGATGAGGAATTTGTTGCGGAACACTCATCTGATTCAACTGTATATATTGCTGTTGCTGTAACTGCTGAACATGCTGCTGCTGCTGTTGTTGCATCTGCTGCGGCACCTGTGGAAATTGAGGTTGAGCCTGAACGTTTTGCGGAGTCGAACATTGTGGAGAATTCGCGTTCAAGCTCTGCGGAACATGTTGAGGATACTGTTGCTGTTGTTGCTGTTGATACTGCTGCTGTATTTGCTGTTGATATTGCATTTGTTGTGCTTGTTGGGACTGCACGACCGACGTTTGTTGTTGGATAATCGGTTGTTGCTGGACCAACTGAACCTGCTGCGCTTGTAAATTATGCTGTTGAGCTTGTTGACCGGTCGATTGTAGTTGCTGTTGTTGAATGGGCATTTGAGTTTGTTGCAATTGCATCGGGACTGGATTTTGCATTTGCATACTAATATTAGATTGAATTTGTTGTTGCTGTTGCTGTTGTTGCTGCTGCTGCTGCTGCTGCAATTGCATTTGTTGAAGAAGCAGTTGCTGCTGTAGCAAGTTCTCGGCGTTTGCAGCATTAGCTGCTGTGACTTCTGTGGCTGTGGCGGCAGTTTCCCTGTCCAAGCGTTCCTTCTCTTCTTTGGCTTTACGTTCCTCTCGTTCTCGCAATAGAGTGGTAATTTGCGATTTCAACATCTTAGCCACCGCTTTAGCATCTTCCTCTAATATCAGGCTAGATTTCGCCATTTCTAAAGCTACCTCTTCCGCGTTATCAGTCTGTATGTCAAAGTCAAATTGTATCGCCTCGTTTTCCTTGTGTTTGTTGCTGCGCTTCTTAGGATCCAGCACACGCAATCTAAACTCAACACGCGACTGCTCCATATCCGCAACCGCCGAATCTCGCGATACCATCTCTAATTTCAGTCCAACATCATCGGCGAAGAATTCGTGATTAAGTAAGTCCTTAACAAGCGGTCGTTCTTCTTTCTTCAGACGTATACACATTTCTATGATATCACGTACCTCTGGATTTTCAACTTTATCGTAGCTCTGTGGTTTAACACCCTGCGTAATATAAATTGCTATTCAGAATATCATATCATTCCTCTTCATTATATGTTAAATTATATTCATAAAATTTATAAAGATAATTATCCCTCGTACGTAAATATCGATATCATAGACAACTAGAATTGTTCTAATTGACATAAAAGGTTGAAGTTGTAATACATGCTTACCGATACTACGCGTTTGTATATTTGTGCTGGTCCTGTACATTCGGAATATGGATACTCGCTAGTAGCCATCTCGAGCATACACATTCCGAAGGCATAAACGTCGACTGACTCGTCATAATGCTCCTCGTACATTTCAGGCGCCATAAATTCCGGTGTACCGATAACGCTTTTTGCAAAACTACGATTCTTCAATGTTGCAAGACCTAAATCGCCAATTTTCACGCTTCCTGTTGTACCCGTGATAAAAATATTATCACATTTCAAATCACGATGAATAATGGGCGGTGACCTAGAGTGAAGGAAGCTCAGGCCTTTCAAGATTTGCCGACACCAAGATTTTACTACTTTAGGATTAATCTTCTTGAACCTCCTCAAATATCTGTTGTAATACAGCCAATTAAAAACATGTGCTACAATAACACTCTATAAACAATAAAGAACTTAACTCCATAAATAATAAAAAACTTACGTTTTCAATGTTCCCGATGTCATAAGTTCAGTGACTAGTACAATATATTTTCTACGAGTAAGTGTAACTTCCCAATAATCATAAAACCTTACAATATTCGGATGTTGTAATCCTTTTAACATTTCAGCCTCTTCCCTGAATCTCAATCTCTCTGTTTTATTCAATTTTTTCTCCTACGGAAAATAAGCGTTATTTTAATGTATTAACTAAAAAGATTTTCAAATTTTAATTAATATAAAATTTTTTATTCAAATACTTGTCTCACTTAATGGACATATTGTACATATTTAAAAGGATATCTTACCTGCAACTCGCACCAAGCTACAGCTACGCCAGTTTGAGTATCTAACCCGCGATAAACAGTCTTGAAACTGCCACGACCAATTTCCTCTTCAAATTTCAGAAATCTTCCATCCGGTGAAATACCGACGGCTTTCTCCTCATCATCGTCGTCCTCGACAGTCTGCACCTTAACTTTCATTAATAAATTTTGCACCTCTTCCATTGCCATTGTTTTTTGCGACAATTTTTCATCCGCCTTAAAGTTTTCGTCGAGTAATGGACCAATAAAACCTTCCACCGTTTCCTCCTGCGTAACTATATCCTTTTCAGGATGCTCTCTTATTTCTGTCTCGTCTCGCAAATTTTTATTCTGCACCTCTCCCATCTCGGTGTCTAACGGCGGAACTTTGCCTAATTTACTTAACGATTCATGAAGCGCCTGTGCTGCTACTATGTCGCTGATGCTGGTGCCATCGTCATCGTATATCGTAACTCTTTCCTCCTCCACCTCTTTCTCTACATCCACCGTCTTGGTGTCGGCATCCGTTATCTCTTCCAATACCTTTGATGTTACAAACCTCGAACTTTTAATTACCTCTTCGCTTAAACCTGTGTTACTTTTGACCCTCGATATCTTCTCCTTCTTATCGCTACTTACGGTATTCAAAGGTTCTGTGGTCTCTTTATCTGCACCATTATCACCACTATCCGTGTACCCTACGGATTCTCTACTTTTTGCTTGTTTACCTTCACTATTATCGTTTGTGGAATTCATTTCTATCTCTGTCGATATCATAGTATCATTTACATCTTTTTCTATGTTAGTTGATTCGACGTCTTTACTACTATGATGTTCAATCATTTTCTCTCCAGAATTTGTATTTTTATGTTTCAGAACTTTTTGGTCGTTATTACTAATTGATCTGGCGCCGAGAGTAGAGCTCAACAATGATTTTTGCTTATCATTTGTAATACTTTCCTGATTAACCGCATGAAATTCGTGTACTACAGATGGTTTTATTGGCATAACATTTCTTTGTTCGAACTCATTTAAAATCACGTGTTGCACATCTGCAGCGTTCCTTGATGAATCGGTACGTTCTGCAAGAATATCACGTGCCACATTTGCTTCCTCATCTTTGCTGAATTTTGCTGATTTTACTTTACTAATTGGTGTAGAAGGTGTAGAACTAGACCCTATACATATATATATAAAATATATAATAAAATTTCAATAGATTTATCTCTTAGATATCATACAATTTTATTTTAATCTTGAAAATTTTACCTGGTGTGGCAAACGCATTCTCCGTTGCTGCGATTGCTTCTTCAGCATCACTGAAACTACGATCATTTTCATGATCTAAGGATGATGAATTCACACTTTGGGTGGATGATCGATCAGAGATACGCAAGGCAGATAGTACTTTCTTTTTAGAAGATGGTGAACTGGTCGACAGACCGTTGCTAGTTATAGATAAAGAATCAGTACTCTGATCGTGTCGCTGTGCTCGAATTTGCTTTTTGGAAATACTAGCCGAACGACTTATATTGGATAATACCTGCACAAAACACAAAATGACATTAAATCACAATGACAATTTGAAGTATATGACAGTGATATTTCTTAATCGTGTTATACAATGAATGTTTGAACGTTTCCGTGTTAATTTAGCACATGCAATTTAACTAACCTTCCTATCACCTGTAGTGTTGGCACTAGGACCTGCCTGCGCGACAATAGCTAGCTTTCTTTGGCGTTTGTGATTGTGTGCGTGGATCCTTTGGGTCGTTACAACTGCGCAAGGGCCTCCGCTTTCCTGAGAGGCTAAGTGGCCCACTGCCAAACTAATGCCACTTTGGCTGCCAGTGCCTCCACTGGCCACCAGCTTGGGACATAAACTAGACAAGCCTCCGCCAGTTCCACCTGAAGAACGTTGCCTATTTGTCTCATACCTGAAATTCCACGAAGATAATTTTATATTGAACAAACCAGACAGAATCGATTTTATTTCACACAAGTATTTCATATAGGACAAAAAATACCAATTTCAATCTAATTTTTTCGACATTTGTTTTACTAAGATCTTAGGAAAAAAATATAAATTAATTCAAAGGTCAAAACATATAATAAGTAACATAAATGTTTAAATTAATGAGAAGCTTGTTTCCAGGAAATTTAATTTTTTTAATTGTAGAATAAAAAAAAGCGTTTACACACATACACACACACACATATACATATATGTAACATCAGACATTAAATGACATCTATATGAAATGTCATACTTTTCCTATCAGAATTTTAGGTGATTTATTCAATCACGTCTTATTTATTTAAACACACATACATGCACATATACACACAAAATTCTTCAAAAGAAAGTATAACTCTATATGGATGAGTCATCTAATATCTGTGTGAATCTCTTTTTTTAAGAATATCTTTTTTTTTTTTACAGAAAAATTTTGAAAAGCAAAGAGTTGCAGAATACAGAAAAATCATATTTGTTATTTCTAAATCTGCTATATATACATGTGTATATAATATATATTTCTATATTGCGTAGTTAGTAATATATTTATTAATATAAACTACTTATTTGTATAAAGCATTTTTGTCACATTGGTGCACAACAAGCTTATTATGTAATTATAATTAAGTATACTCTCGATTATTGAAACAGAAGAGTTTAATTCAATTGCAGAATAATAGCATTAAAAATATTAATTTAGATGTAAATTAAATAAATTAGCTTTTAATTTACATTTTTTTAATTTTATCATTGATATCTTTACATCATCAATATTCATATTATTCATTCTACTCGTTACATCTAAAAAATAAATTTTGTAATTCATTGCAAATGTACTACATCAAACAAAGAAAAAGCAATTTAGAGATTACCCAGTGTTCATAACATATGTATGTACATACAAGATTAATATCCACTCTTCCCCTTGAATCATCAAGAGTCTACTATAGTAACAAAGTTACATAAATGCGCAATTAATAATAGAATTTTGTAAAGCAGAATACTTAGAAAAATTAAACAGAAATTTATCATAATTAGTTAGAAAAGAGATTTATAGATTACAATTGAAAAAAAATAGTTTATAAATGAATAATAAAGTGTAACAAATGACAATGTAAGAAGCATGATTTTTGATACAGACATCATTATACCTGTCCTGCCTGCTGTGGCCAGATGAGAAGAATCCACGCACTGTGTTTTCTATAGCTGCTCTCTTTTTAGTCTCCCTATTTTTTTCTCTGTGCCCCCCAGATCCAGTGCTCACCTGATGATCCTGACGAGTACCTTTATCACTCTACAATGATAAAAAAAATATAAAGAAATTATTCAAAATTATAACTGTATTTCTCATATTAAATAATTACGTGAACTTTTTAAATCTAATTTTTAATGACATGGAATCTATTTCAAGCAACATATCTTACATGTCGTAACATAATGTTTAAGAACGTAAAACTTATTTAGAATTTATCAGAATGTAAAAATGTAAACAATACAAAAATACACTATAAAAATATACATATGTAAAGATATACGTGTATACCGTAAAAATCTTACCTTTAAACCAAGAAGCTTTATGTTTAAATTGGAGTTTGTACTTGTTGGGACAGGACTTAGGTCACACCGAAGCCGTCTGTGTGATTTTTCAACTACCGAGGGATCTTCGTCTATGTTCAATTGACTTCCAATCGAGAAAGCATGCGATTGCGTTAATATAATATCGTCTGTACTGTGCTTACAGTTGTTGCTCACTGAACTCACTGTCTTGCTGTCATTGTAGCATCTCGGCATTGCACATAACCAACTTTATTTAAGATCCTATTTCACAAAATTACTTTCCCTTTTCCCTTGCGCTTCTACACTCAGCTTCGCCCCGATGTAAAATTAATAAGATTCATATTATCGTCGCCTCCTCAATGTAACCGAATTAAAACTTTTCCAATCGTGACTATATATCTCTTAACGAGCAGTCTTTGTTATGAGATTTAAAATATCCGTATCTGTAACATTTTGGACTTGGGCTATGTATCCCGCCATACAATTTGCCGAGAGCTGGATAGCGAATTTCTAGTACCCGAGGAACTGAAAGGATCTGAAATCAGAGAACAATTTCGTCCAATTATTGCATGAAAATTCTATTATAAATTAACATTTTTATTTTATGATAACAACATAGATCCTAAGTTGTAATCATAGAAATCCGTGTAATAAATAAGTTTAATTTAATAAAAACTGACTTGTTAATAAAAAGTTGTAAATAAATATGTAACATTTAGGCTGCTGTCCAATATTCACTGCCAGTACTGAAAATCTATAGTATACGTGATGTAAACTATAGATTTTCAGTACCGACAGTGAATATTGGAATGCCCCAACAAATACTATTGTCTTAATTGCAGAGACCATTTTCATCTACAGTTTACTTCACGATACTTGGTGCATACTTGGAAAATATATATAAAAAATAGTTAACAAAAGTCAATACGAGTGCCGATGCTGAGTCAATTCACACAGGGATATGTCTCTAATTATCTCCATCTGACATCAAAACACATTTGTTAACCGCTCTAGTTACGAACATTACCCGTTTAGCAATAAATCAAGAGTGACGGAGGTACATGCACATAATAGACGCACGGACCCTAAACGGAGAATCGCCGCAAATCAATTTGCTATCAAACTATATCAATGGCATCAACGCGTCAATCAAGGGAACAGTCGGAGTCGTCGGAGACGTAGGAGCACGTCGGTGTTTTGATCGGTGAAAGATACACGCGCGCGAGCGTGTCGCAAACAAAGAGACACGCGGAGAGACACGTTTCTGCCGTTAAAGTCGCAGAATGTTGTCAAGTACCGTCAGTACCGTGGGGATACGCCGCTTGAAAAATATGACGATATATAGGGTGTCTCGACACGTACCAACACGCGCGCAGCGCGCACAGAGAGATGCACGGCACGGAGGCGTAGATACGCGCGTACATACGTGCGCGTGTCACACACCGACACAGTCCAACGGCGCGCGCGACCCGTTGACACGGGGGGCAAAGGAAGCCGCGTTTACACGGCGGTCGAGGGAGATCTCTCGCGCGCGCGCGCACACACATAACACACGCACACAGAGAGACTCGCAAATCAAACGACGCACACCCGTTCATTGCACACGCATGGCGAACGGCGAGGCGCACGGCGCACGGCGCACGGCGTACGGCGCACGGTGGCGTTAAAGCACCGCACGCGCGAGAAGAGACGGAGAAGATAATGTGCCATCTATCCCAAAAATATCGCTCGTCGCGCCACGTTTTGCGCGCATCGTATCGCAAATCGCGAGCGCGGCGGCGACGTGCCGTCGGCCGTCGGACGGGCGAGGTGGCGGCGAGGTGGCGCCGAGCCGAGCGCCGAGGCCGAGGCCGCGGCGCCCCGCGGCACGTCATGCGGCGCGCCGTTATTTTTGACTGATAATGTATCTCGCCAATGATGCCCGCGCGACGTATACATGTGACGCGGAGGTGCGAGAGAGAAAGAGCGGAGCCAGTACCTACTTCGGCCTCGGGTTTTCATGCGGGGAGAGAATCCGCGCTGAGAGCTCTCTCGTATTTTCGTTCCTACCGGACACGGGCCACGATCATTCCTGGCAACCCGCGCCCCGCGGTTGCGCCAGATTGCGCACAAACGTAACAGCACTCCGTTTAAATCCCTCAGCCAGCCGGTACTCACATTTGTGTTGCAGACACGTCGCCCCGACTACACCCAAATAACCACCATTTTTTTTTTCTCTTCCAGCACTGAACGCTACGCACTCTCACGGTGCTATGCGCAAAGCGGCAGTGTGCGCGCTAATCGACGTAGCTCGGCCCAGCTCGGCCGTCTGACCACTCTTGACTCTGCTGCCTGCCGTCTGGCGACCTGGCGACTGCCGACTGGCACCACTGGCGGCCCGACTCACCCGACTGCCCCGAGACGTGTCGTCGACTGTCGAGTCTCGCGCGCGCGATGCTAGGTGGTGCCGCTGCAGACCGTCTCGGCCATGGACGGCGAATCACGTAGACGCGACGGCGACTAGCGAAAGACAGCCCGTCCAATTCAAAATGGCCGCGTTCAGCAGACACAACTGTTGATTTCGTCTTATCAACACTCTGCGTTGCGTGGTTGGTTCTAAAAGTAAAAGCCACGCACGTTTGACTGCTACTCCGCGGCTTGGTCTGCTGAACGCGCCCAATGAGCGACTTTGATCAACAGAACAATCGCTAATCTTTTTTTCTCATATATATGCATCTTGCTTCTCTTAAGCCCCTTGCACAATGCTAGGCAACAGGCAATAGGAACAGGGAATAGAAATCAGAAATCATGTATAAATGCAGAATAAACAGTGACACAGGCAATAGACACAGAGTTTCCGTCACGTTGGAAATTCTGTGCCTATTGCCTGTTGCCAACCAATCACAGCATACGAATTTTTTAAATTGTAATTAACGATTTTTTTGTTATTTCCTGTTCCTATTGCCTATTGCCTAGCATTGTGCAAGGAGCTTTACGAGCAAGCTTAGGCTGAGTTTCCACTGAGCGCGTCACACGTCGCGTCATCACAAGTTAACCAATCAAAACATCCCATTTTGATACCGTCACAAGTAATGTAATAAAATGGGATGTTTTGATTGGTTAACTTGTGATGACGCGACGCGTGACGCGCTCAGTGGAAACTCACTTCCGAACAGCCCGAAGATGAAAACGACCAATGGCGTGGGCCGGACACCCGAGCGATATCGCGCACATGGAGACCCACCCGTTGACGCTAAGTCGCTAATGTCGCTATCTGTCGCTGTCGGACGATGGCGGTTTGCGGGTTTGATCGCCTCGCGACCACTCGCGACTCACGTTACTCCAAACTCCACGATTCACAACCGTCCGCGATAGTGCGCGATAGTCTGTGTTGGTCCGCGGACGCGCGGATATGTTCGTTCGTCCTCGCCTCGTTTGCGCCACTGTTATGTAGATGCCACCATGAGAACATTGGGAACGGCAACAGCAACGGTCGCAACGGTCCGCGATAGCTGAAAGTAAATCTCCGGGGGACGACGGACGACGGACGGCGAGAACGCGCGGTGTGCGGTGCCGCGGTGCCTGGGAAAAATGACTCCTTTCGTGCCGTCGAGAGTCTAGGAATTCATGAAATTGAAGAAGCGAAAGAGTCTGTGCGCGCAGTGCGTGAATATGCCCGCCAAGGTCTCGAAGAAGGTCGTGGGCATGATCATACGAAGCCGAAAGTCCATTATGAAGGATGGAGTCATCACGGTACCCAATGAATTTTTACGTTGAACCTCCAAACGCGACTTTCCCGACACCCCCCTTCCTCCTTCTTTCTTCCCCCTTTCCCCGA